ACTCCCTCTTGAGATGGTTCGTCGAATTGGATGACGCCATAAGGGCGCGTCGCATCGACGACGGGGATATGCAAGTTGCATTTGCCCAGTCAAATCTGGCAGGACGTGCCAAGACTTGGGCACTGGGGCTCAAGCTGCACGACCCATACGCGTTTGGGTCGTTGGAAGTCTTCAAGTCGCGGCTCAGACAAACGTTTGAACCGCCTAGAGCTGAGTTCAGATCTCGAACCGAACTCTTGAAGCTCAAGCAGGGTAAGCGTGATGTGCACGCTTACGCTCAACATATACGACATCTCACGAGTTGTATAAGTTCCAATCCGGTGGATGAACACACGTTGGTTTCGGTGTTCATGCAGGGTCTTGCGGATGGTCCCGTCAAGACTCACCTGTTCCGGCTTGAACTAGATTCACTAGAACAAGCCATTTCCATTGCGGAGCAGGAAGACTTCAGTCTGAGACAGGCTCGCGCCAGCTCGACATCATATCGTCAACCGAGACGATATGACAACGGAGGTCCAGAGCCGATGGAACTCTGCTATGTAGAGAGCGAGAAGGCTCGCTCTACAGGCTACAAGAAGTTGCATAAATGCAACAGATGTCAAAAGACAGGACACTACGCTTACGAGTGTAGTGCCCCTCGTCCAGTGTCTCGCAACACTGGGCGTAGTGACCGTCCACCCATGAGAAAGGGGCAGGGACGAGGGTCCGCAGTTGGTGCAAAGACGCAACAACGGGATGGACCGTCAAAAAACGGACAGGATCAGTAGGTGCGGAGCACCCTACTGGTCCAGCAACGTCAAGAGAATTTGTAGGCCTCTTGATGAAGTTTGCTCCCAACACACAAACGTTGTGCGTTGCTGCTCTAGGTAATGAGATCTCACTCATTACCTTGAAACTCGAAGTGACGAATAAGTTGTCCCTTCGAGATCTAGTCGATTGTGGGGCGTCCAACAATTTTGTGCGACGCCAATCGCTAGAAGTTAGTCATTTTAAGTTCAGTGAATGTGACACACCTCCTACGAGGATGAAGGTACGTCTTGCGACAGGCGCATCCGTAACCGTCATGAAGCGTATAGTGAAGATTCGCTATACGCTAGAAGATACCCAATATGACGATGACTTTATCGTATTGGATTTGGATGACAAATTTGATGTCATCCTTGGAATACCGTGGCTCAGAAGGTACGAACCACGAGTAAACTGGCAACATCGAACAGTAACGATGCCTGCCGCTTGTTCATCAGATGGCCATCTGATGAACGTTTTGGAGCGTCCACAAGCGTGTGGATGTACTACGAGTGAGTGCGATGGCCTCACTTGTGGTACGGTCGTTAGTACGACTGCACAAAACCTTAGTGTACCAAACGGTTACACTTCGGAGCAAAGTTCCGGCGGCTGTGAGGAAACACAGGCTGCGCCGAAGGTCCACCACTCGAATAAGTCGGGTGGACTGGGACAAAGATGTATCCCTAGAGGGGAACATCTAGAAGAGAAACAATCGATCGCTCAGGTTAAGCGAAACGATAATCCTAGATCGACTGGAGAGTCTTTCGTAGAGGATCTCGCTGTGGTTGCGCAACCCCAGCTAGAGGAAGTAAAGGGAATAAGTCCCAAGATTACAAATACGGCGGAAATAAGTTCCCCGAAACCCGCGGGAATAAGTCCCCGGGAAGACGAAGGAATAAGTCCTTCAAAGCCTGAGGGAATAAGTCCCCAGGAAATGACAGAGACATTGAATGTCATAGTCAATAACGGATCATGTGTAGGCGCTTATACACTTGATCTGATTGCGCCTCCGAAGTTAACTTCGGAGATCACTCAGTTGCCAACGCTCGAACATAAAAGATTCTTGCGTGATCTGCGTAGTGACAAAGTCAAGCAGATCTGCGTACTCGTCGCTGACGACGAGTGTGTAACCGACATAAGGTCAGCAACAGTGTTTACTGAGAACGAGAGGGTTCTCAGTAGTTCAACGATGGACGAGAGTGTCCTAGATGAAAAGACACGAGTTGAGCGATATGACTCCCAGTCGTGGGAATCGCTCAAGACAAATCCTCTCTATGAAGATTTGGTTGAATTCAAGGATGTATTCCCTGAAACTGTTCCGTATGAGTTACCGAAGGATAAAGGTATTCGACACGAGGTCGAGCTTAAACCAGGCTCGAAGTATTGTGTCATGAAGCAGTGGCCACTGCCTCGTGAACAAGTACTTGCGATCGACAAGTTCTTTGCCGATCGTTTAGCTGCGGGCCATGTGAGGGAATCGACTTCCCCACATAGCTCTCCGACCTTCTGTGTGCGAAAAGCAACAGGAGGGTGGCGGATAGTGCATGCATTTAACAAGTTGAATGCTGCAACGGTACCGGCTCAGACGCCGATACCGAGGAAGGACGTAATCATTGATGGTATGTCAAAGAGTACCATCTTTTCGTCCATGGATTTGATGGATGGCTTCTATAAAATCCTTATGCGGGAACGGGATATACCCTATACCGCAGTGAGCACCACCAGCGGCATGATCTGGGAATGGCTAGTAATGCCACAAGGGCTCAGTAATGCCCCTGCCACGTTCAACAGATGTGATACACATCTGTTGAGACCAGTACGAGAATTCGCACCGAGTTATTTCGATGACGTATTCATCCATATTCGAGCTATGGATGGAAAGTCGGACGTTGAGGTTCACAAGTACCACGTCCGACAAGTTCTTACAATCATGCGAAAGCATCAATTGTATGCAAACCTCAAGAAGTGTATATTTGCAGCAAGCGAAATACCACTTCTTGGGTGCATCGTTGGTAAGAACGGTGTACGTCCTGATCCCGAAAAGATCAAGGCGATCACCGACTGGCCCGTGCCGGTCGATGTCAAAGGTCTTCGAAAATTCCTTGGGCTAGCGGCGTATTTGCATAAGTATTCACGCAATTACGCCGAGATGACTGTACACCTCTCTCGTTTGTTGAAAAAGAACGAGAGGTGGTTATGGAACGCTGAATGTCAACGCTCCTTTGAGGGTATCAAGCAGAGCTTGATACAATCCCCAGTCCTAGCAATAGCCGATCAGGACAGGCCATTTCATGTGGTCTGTGATGCCAGCGATTTCGCAATCGGCTGTGCATTAATGCAGTACGACCTTGAAGGCGTTGAACGCGTCGTCTGCTATCAGTCGCGTCAGCTGCAACCAGCTGAGCGGAACTATCCAGTGCATGACAAGGAACTCCTTGCCATGAAGTATGCACTCGCGAAGTTCAGAGTCTATCTATTAGGAGATAGACCCTTCGTTGTTTACACTGACCATGCGTCCTTACGCACGGCAGTGAACAGCCCGCACCTTTCACAACGAATGGCGCGGTGGTTGTCATTCTTTGCAGAATACAACTTTACGGTCGAGTACAAACCAGGACGACTTAATGTCGTCGCTGATGCACTCTCACGTCGTCCCGACTTTGAAACAGTCGCGAAACCCAACAGTGAGACAGTCACTGTTGCGGTTATGACGTCCTCAGTTCCATCTACAACGTTGTATGATGATGTGAGGCGGGCATACGCCCAAGATGGTGAGATAGTGAAGTTGTTGTCACATCTCTCCCAACCATCTCGAGAATCGTTGAAACGATTGTCGTCTACGTATCGATCTGCATCAGATCGATACACTACTCGCAAAGGTTTACTGTATTATACAGCCGTTTCTGGTGACACACCACGTGTTGTCATCCCAGATGATACTGATCTGCGTTCGCGGGTCATGTCCGAGTATCACGAAGCTCTTATAGGAGGACATCGTGGCCGAGAGAAAACATATCTCACGGTAAGTCGAGACTTTTACTGGCCCCGCCAGTATCAGTTTGTGCGAAAGTATGTTCGCGCATGCGAAGTCTGCCAACGAGTGAAGTCAAGTCCTTCACTGCGTGCACCTTTACAGCCTCTACCGGTTCCGGCTGAGTGCTGGGAATCCATATCAATGGATTTCGTCTTCGGGTTACCCAAAGACGCACGCGGGAATACGGGTATTCTCGTATTTGTTGACAGATTCAGCAAAATGGTACACCTTGTGGCTGTACCAGAGACAATCACGGCAAGTGGCTGTGCTTGTGTCTTTATTGACACCATCTTCCGACTTCATGGGTTGCCCCGTGAACTCGTATCAGACAGAGATCCACGATTCACTGCTGATTTCTGGCGTTCCGTGTTCAAATCACTCGGAACGCGCTTGAAGATGTCAACATCTGATCATCCAGAGTCAGATGGTCAGACGGAACGTGCCAATCGTGTCCTTGAAGAGATACTTCGAGGATACGTACACTCCTTTAAGAGTTGGAGTGAGTTTTTGCCGATGGTAGAGTTTGCCATCAACAACTCAGTGCATGCGTCCACGACACATACACCATTTTACGTGAATGGCTTGCGCCATCCGCGTGTACCCACCTTACTAGAGTGTAACTCTGGTTTTAGGGGGGGAGGGACTCGCGCGAGCAAAAACCGATTTGGTTCACGCTCATCACGCTCTGACGAAGAAGTCATTGCGTTTGATGCCGATATCGATAACATCAATATCGAAGAAGATGATGCCAGTGAGAGTGCGGAAGCCCTCACTGAAGACAATGATCCCCGTGAGAGTGCGGAAGCCCTCACTGAAGAAAAGGTTGTTGTCGCTGCAGTGCGCTCACAGCACACTGAAGCTAACGAGTCATCAGATGAGTTCATACTGGCTCGTGAAACGGTAGTCCGTTTTGTGCAAGACTCCATCGCCGAAGCGGTGGATAAGCAAAAGCAAAACGCTGACAAGAATGGAAGGGCAAACACTCTTTTATTTAATAAAGGTGACTTAGTCCTACTGTCTACGGTTAATCTACCAAAGCATGTAGTGACTAACTTGGGTAGCAGTAAACTACTACCCAAGTACATTGGCCCATTTCGTGTATTGCACCGCCTAGGCAATGCATACACGATCGAGTTACCACGTAAGATGCGAACGCATCCCACGTTTTACGTTGGTCGGCTTAAGCCGTACCATCAGTACGCTGCTTCTTCCGATGAAGAACGCCCTTGCGCTCAAGCATCTCGCAGAGAGCCTTGTGCTCCCGATGGTGGATATCAACAAGGGTCTGAAGAGCAGTTATCTCAGCCCGAGACCGATCAACAATCCCACGAGCTACCCTTAGCTCGTCACGAAGAGATGTCAGAGATCTCTCGTTCTCAAGCTGAGCAAAGGCAAACTCAGCTCGATGCTTCGAGGCAGTGTCCACCATCTGGAGACGCCTATTCCGCTCATGTTCGAGATCGTCGCGTAACCCTTGCGTTACGCGATCAAAGAAGCTCTCGGGAACACACCGATCCACATGATCGTGTGGAGAGCGTCTTTCCTCCTCCTCCACCTCCATTAGAGGACTCTCGCGGTGGCCAGCGCTATCTAGTAGAGCAGCTGTTGAACCACCGCGACGTGAACGGACGTCGGACGAGTTACCTCGTCCGGTGGCGCGGCTATCCCCCGTCCTGGGATTCTTGGGAGCCCCGTTCCCAACTGATGATCAACGTACTGGGTCTGGTCGAGCAGTACGACGCGGCACATCCTGTGCCGCAGAAGGACCGCCGGAGAAAGTCTTCCCGGCACGGTCGTAAAGGGATTTCAGGTTGTCAATCCCTTCGTACATCTCAGTAGAGACACGTACGCGCCACCACGGGCTGGTAAGGAGGTAAGCCTCCTTAGGTGCTCGTGCAGAGTTGTTCACACAACATGGGCACGAGTCTCCCCAAGAGAGGCAGGGTAATCCTTTCTCCCTTGACAGACGATGCAGCTTATAGCGTGCACCTGTCGGGGTTCGCTTTTCAAACTTATCACGAGCTTTGATAAGTTTGTCGTTCCAAGCGTCACGACCTACATCCTCGAGGTTATGGATGTAGGCGTTCCACGCCTGAAGTAGTGAGGGACCATCACGTTTGTGATTCCCACTGTACCATCGATGTCTGAAGAAAGCATCGATGAAGAACTCATGTTCAGCGCGATAGTCTTTCGCGCTGGGGTCAAGGTGATGAATCCTCGACGAATCGAACAATCGTGTTCGATAACGATCACTCGTCGTCGCCGACAAGTGATCCATGACAGATTTAGGAGGCATCCATGCCTTCTTTTCTGGAGCGAGACGCAACACATTGCGGTCCCGCTCTTCCTGCGACGTGCCGACAGAAGTACTGGCACCTCGCTGTGAAGTGGTGTCCATTGGAGAAACGACACCACTATTAGCGCCCGAGTCTCGCGACCTCGAGCGCCTTCGCTTCGGCGATGGTTCATCTGACTCATCAGATGAACCAAAGATGCTGCGACGCAAAGCATCGTCCATGCCACGCTTGGCAGGCGGCTTGGATTCAATTGCCGTCGATACGGATCCGTCATCCGTATCAGGAGAGTACGAGACACCGAGCTCGTACTCTGTGAAGACACGAGTGTCTTCATGACCAGCGCCTGCATCACCAGGTGATACAGGCTGAGTCGATTCAGCAACCGATGGGACATCAGTTGCTGTAGTTTCTGCTTCGGCGTCCGCACAGAGACGTGCAGACGCGCTCTCGGCGGCCTTGCTCGCGCATCGCATGGGCTTGTTTACCATGCGATGAGATGTTGGAAAGTGGACGCGGACCAACAAGTGCAAACCCCGTCCCAAATGATTTGGGACGAGTATCCATTTAGTCAATCAGTCACTAAAGTGACTGATGGTTAAGGGGGGGGGTGATGTAACGGGGTGAATCGTTACATAACAATTTATAAGAAATTGTTAATAGAATATGACTATAAGAGTTATATTCTCAGAATATTGTCATAAGGACAAATATTCTGTAGCACTTACAAGTAGTTCCTAATTGGTTGATATAGGCCATTATATCAACCAACGAAGACGCGCCACGACAGACGCACGCAATGAGTGGTGAGCAGATAACTGATTTACACATTTGTATTTAGACATAGTTAGATGAAGATAAATAGTGATTTATTGCAGACATTAACTATTATAAATACAGTTCTACTTTTTACTCTAACCAAGTACTCGTTTCTTCTTACCGTCTTCCTCTGCACGTACGAGTGTACGTGAAGTTACGAGGCACCGCCTTATTCTGTTATCAGAATAAGTAGCTTGTACTGTCACCAGTACAAGCTTCAGGGTGCCCCGTTACAGCTACTACATCGCCGAAAGAGAACTGGTGCTGACAGTACGGGCCCAAAAAACCCACTTGACGTGTAGGATGCATAAGCATCCTACGCGGCATTTCGATCGTGTATGCATTGCTTTGTCGGGGCAGCAAACGAAATTGTTCGACATACTTGGGAAGTATAATACTGCTGCCCACTTTAGACACTACGTGTCAAGGTAAATAAACCTTAAAAAGTAGGGAAAAAATCACACTCAATCTATTACATAGCATGTTGTATTCCATTCTTGTCAGTGTAACGTTTCTGCCGGTCTACAGCGTAGGCGATGGAGTCATGCACAAAACAGGCCGCTTCTTCTCGAGTCAATAAAAATCTTTTTGCCGACGAGGAATAATTTTTTTCAGTATGCCTTGTGCAAACTGCAGATAGAGTTTTCCTTTTCTTTTCTTTATCGAGGGTGTCACCATCCTCGCTGGAATATATGTTGGCGATGCTGAAAATACCAGAATTGTCACCATCATCTGACACAATGATAGCATCATCATAATTATGAAAAATTCTTCTACTTTACAATCGAACTAATCGACTTCGGCATCATACGAAACGACGTAAATGTTCACACGTGATGAGCAAGAGTCAAAACGTATTTTGCTTGGGCAAGTCCCTTTTCCTCTTATAAAGAATAACACTTATTTATAGGGTGGAAAAACGCGGATGGAGTAAGCTATTTACAGAGAACAATGTGTGATGAGTAGTTAGATACATGCCTCAAATAATCTATGGCAAATTCCACGATAAAGAGGAATTTGCTCCAACTCGAGAACGAGTGGACTTATCCTCAGATAATCTCTTTAAGGAAACGGTTTTCACGTTTCATCTGTACATCTGTTTCGAGATGCTCAGGTGTTGACATCGATAATCGCGTTCCGAGCGATCAGAACACGGAATGACAAAAATCCGCCGTGGACCGAGGTTCACGGCGGAAAAAAGCTCACAGGTAATCCGTGGAGTCGAAATCGTGTCACTAATAACACAAGCACAGCCATGTGACGTTATCAACTCGGGTACAGCAGAAAGATGCACCATCTTGCTGACCCAGTCCACGAACGCAAAAATGCTATTTTTGATGGTCGCCTTTGGGAAATCCAAGGACGAATATCATGGAAACAGAGTGCCAGTACTCTACCGAAATATGTAGAGGCTACGAGGGCGCACTGAACAGAGGAATTGACTTAATTTTGTTGACAAGCCCTGCATTCACAAATGTACTCGCGCATAATGATTCTGGCGGCGTTAGTAATGTCACGACGTACCGTAAATTAAGTCTTTCTTATACCACGATGTCCACCTGTTGGGGCATCGTAGAACCCATACATGATGCACAAGAAGATATAATTATCAGCGGGGACGAAGACACGAGGTGTTTTGCCGTCAACGGATGTACATTAAGCACCCCGTTGCGTGTGGTGTACCGAATTGGTGAAGAACGGTACAAAGTAGATATACCTTTCAGTGATTTACGAGCTATTTTACCAGATGATTCATCAACCTTAGAAGATAATTACATTCCGCGTAGACCAACCTGACGGCAAGTAACGTTAGCGACGGAACGCTGAATGTAAGTGTCGCAACAATAGGTGTCTCCTCACTATGACATTGCGCGCCCGGCTCAAAATTGGTCGGCGTAAAGCGCATCAGCAAAAACATTCAGTCGTCTTTAATTTCGCTCGACGGGAAAATTATAATCCGCATGGAAAGACAGCAATCTCGCCCTTCGTTGCGAGAGGTGTGGACTGCTTACGGCCGTGCATAGTGACGCACGATCGGCACAATCGATGTACGGTCTATCCTTCAAGAGATAGACACTAAACTTTACAGTGCATATTCCTTTGCAAGAAGGTCCTTGTCACGCACTGGGCGCGATTAATAACAGAAGACGCGCTTAGTGCCGTCTGAGTCGTACTGCATCAACGCGCAGCCGATTGAAAAATTGCTGGTGTCACAGACCACATAAAATGGTCTATTTTGGTCTGCGATAGCCAACATAGACGATTGTATCAAGCTTTTCTCGATACCTTCGGAGGTGTGCTGACACTCAGCACTCTATGACACCATCTCGTTTTTCATTTTTAATCATGAGCGATGTATTTAAATCCCGGCATAGCTGCGCGAGTAATTGCGCAAGTAAGCCGATCAGCAAAGGAACCTTTTTAGCCTCTTAACATCATTATGCACAGGACAGTTGGTACATGGCCGAACATTTTCTGGATCTGGGCGGACGCCGTGTTTACCCACGGTGCACCCGATAATTGATGTCTCCTTAGCCGCGGGTATACAATTCTTGAGATTGAAATACAACTCGTGCTTCCGTAAGTTAAAGAACTTTCCGGACGTGACATGTTTGAAATCTCACGTCCGTCTTCCCATCCACAGCCAGGCTATGGACGAAAACATCGTCTTAGTAGCTTGGTGCGAAATCTCGCACTGGTCTCTAGATTTGTCACACATCTGTTAAACATTGCAGAGGTGTTACTCATCCCCTGTGTAATCACTATCCACTTTAAGAGCAAACCGCTGTGGGTGCTCAATGAAGTGCACGGGTTGTCTCGCTTGCGCACGAGTATCTTATAGAAACCATCCTTGGATCCATAGACGAATTAATCAAAAAAAATTACAAATAGTAATGATGAAAACCTTCCTCGGTATCCGCGTCTGAGACAATACCGTTGCAGCATTTAGCTTGTTGAATGCATAAAAGATTCTTCATTCTCCTATAACCTTTCGCACACAGAAGGTCGGAGGGGGGGGGTTAACTCCATCAAATGGCAGCTGCGAAGCGATCGGCAAAGAGCTTATCGATCGTTGGTACTTATCCACGAGGAAGTGGGCACTGATTTGTGACACAGATCTAGACCATTCTAAGCTAAATTAATGTTGCGTCACCTTATCCTTGGGCGATTCGCATGGTAAGAATATAGGGAAATTATCCGTGAATTCGAACAATTTCTCACTCAAAGGATTTTCCTGAAGCGACTCCCGGGATTGAGACGCGTATCTTTTTGCACGAGTGTTTTCATCAAGGACGCTTTCTTCCATCAAAAGGGGGCTGAGATCCCGTTTGTTCTTATCAAATTCTGTTTTAAGTCGAATGTCAGTCACGTACTCATCCTCTGTGGCGACTAGATCTGCTAGATATTGCCACTAAGCAGTTCACGCAGATTCTGTTTCAATTTTTAG